TCCAAGTGTGCTAGAAAGAGAAAGATGATTAAACGTCAAAAAGCACAACGTAGGAATGACAACGAAGATTAACAACGGACCGTATAGACAGCTTCGAGTAGACCCCTTACATAACATAGTGAAACGCGTGGAGAAAGCACTGAAGGAGTGCAAATCGATATTAGAAGATGGAGCAGGTCGTTTACGGGAACCCAATCCCATTCTACCCAGGATCAAAGGTCTTCCCAAAGTCCACAAACCAGGAAATGAAATGCGAGAGATCGTGTCTGCAGTTGGTTCCCCCACCCACAAACTATCGAAGTGGCTAGTCAAAGAGTTCCAGAGTATGCCGAATCAGTTCCAGAGTAAAGCAGTTAGTAACACCCAGGAGTTCGCCCAGCAACTACAATCTTCAAGAGACATCAACGAGGACGAAATTATGGTATCTTTCGACATCACAGCTCTTTTTCCCAGCGTACCGGTCAAGGAAGCGATCAACCATTTGGAAGACTGGCTATCAACACAACGAGAGGATGTAGCATGGAGAAACAAGGTTCGGACGTACCTTAAGCTGACCCCCTTCTTGTGTGAACTTTACATGGCCAACTTGGAGACAATCCTGAAGGAGAAAGGACTATTACCAAACCGTTGGTGGAGGTTTGGTGACGATATCTTCAGCGTAGTTAAACGGGAAGCCCTTCCACAAATTTTAGATGAGATCAACAGAATTCACAAGGATATCAAATTCACTCACGAGGTAGAAAAAGACGGGAAACTCGCATTTCTCGATCTTCTCGTCATCAGGGAATCGTCATCATCTTCCTCGCTTGAATACGAAATTTACAGGAAACCAACAAGCACCAAAAGAGTTATCCCCTATACTTCCAACCATTAGTTCCCGCAGAAAATGGCCGCCTTTCACCACATGATTCACCGAATGCAGACTCTTCCACTCAGCGATACAGGAAAGGTTAAGGAATTACAGTACATCTTCGAAACAGCAAGACTCAACGGATACAAGGAGACCACAATCCAGGCAATCACCGATAAAAAAAGCGAGAATTCTACAAAGGAGATTATTTACAACCCTCACCGCAGCACCTGAACCATTGAAACCAGTGTCCGTTCCATTTGATCAAGATATTACTTGTAAGCTAAGACCACAGTTAAAACAATTCGGATTAGATTTAGTTTTCACCAGTAGACATAACCAGTTGATAATAAAATAAGCTTTAATCATTGTAACAAAGTATATGTAGGACAAACCAAGAGAACTTTAGCAACTAGATTTAAAGAACATATAGCGGAGGTTAATAAGGCCAAAAGCAAGAGGAAAAAGGCCTAACATATGATTTCAAATCAAAGGTTGCAGAACACATCTTCACAGAGGACCACCAACTATCGACGGAGGACATCACGATTTTACGAACCGTATCTACACCATGGAAATTGGATGTTGCAGAAAGCCTCGAGATCAACAAACAACGTAATTCAACTTTACTCAACAGGGATCAAGGAAACGGACACACATGGCTTTTCAAGTTACTACTTAGGACACATCAACAGCAGCGGAGTACCTGTTCCTATAGAAAATTAAATTTAAGTTTACCTAGTTTCTAAGTGAAAATGTACCTGTGTTTATATATATTCGGTAAATGCGATGTTTTTCTTCAGTCGAGTATTAGTACAAGACACTGAAGAAGTCTGCACATTGTAGCCGAAATACGCGTATCTGTCAAGGATAAGCAAATAAAGTAGTGAAATTAAATGGAAAATACTAATCCTTCTCTCTCTCATTATAATATATCTGTTATTCAAACTGTTGGAAATGTCACTATAAGTTTACCATCCAAATCATAATCTTTCTAGTTTTTGAGAAAACACTGGCGGATCAAGTGACCCCAGGGATCAAATTTGTTCAGTTAAAATAATATATGCCTTCTGTCTGATTATATAAAACCTTTTAAAGGCACAAGAAATTCGTCTTTAGCACTCGTATACATTTTTATTTTGTGATGAATCCTCGTAGTCCTAAGTAAAATTTCCAATGGTATTTTCTTAATTCTATGTGCTGAAAAATATTGACCATTTATGCATCCCAAAAAATCAGAAATACGTTTGAGTATACATAAGCATGAGCATTGACAATCATACATTTCGTAGTTGCTACTCTTGCGGTGCCGACCACGTTTTTACGGTCATCGAGGAGAAAAAGGATTGGTATTTAATATTATCTGTATCCTTACGGAAAAGATTAACGGAATCCTTCCATTTTTCGTTTTCCGTACAGCTCCGGTCGATGAATTCGTTTGCTTCGCACAAGCAAGCATTCAAACAGATCGCTAAATCTGAATCAGATGGCGTGTTTGAAATCTGTACATGTTTTAACCAGGTTCGATAGATGATATACAATGAGACGTTTGTCAAAATGGACTTCAGTCAGCTCACACCAACGCACCCAATTGTCCTGAGATCGATTCAATCACAAAATTTAGGGCTATCTTCAAGCGGAAACTGTGTTATGGAAGTTACCATACTTTAATCCATCGTTAATGCCACGACAACATGATTCTTATACCACGAAATGTTAAAATCCACATTCCGTTGACTCTTATTAATCGTAATTAATCAATGAACTCGTTAAAAACTCCGTTCGGTTGGACTGCGCGCGCTTGCACATTAGTATTATTTCTGATAAAACTATCATTGGAACATCTTTCCCACTTTCTGTCAAACACTGAAAACAATTTAGCACAGCAAAGCTTGGCGAAACGATTTATTGACTCCTTGATAGGCACACTTTGATTGAAACTTTGATACACTGTACCAAAACATCATCCTCTGTTCGAATGAATCCTCATACGAGAATGATTGTCATCCCAAATTGAAATGCATATAGTATTGGTAAACACCGGTACCGTCGAGTTGGTCACCCTATCCCAACCGGTTCCACCGCTTGACTGATACGAATATTGGTAAAGCATGGAATCTAATTGTCTGTTTCCTCTTCCAACAAACGAATTCTGTATCCATTTAAAGCGTTTGAAAGTCATCCTATAGTACGTTCAGACTACAGAGTTATAACATGTTATAGCGCTATCTTGATGGTGGTTTCTGTGTTGCAATTATTTGACAACCGTTATAACATGTTATAACTCTCCAGTCTGGACAGCGTTCTAGTCTAAAATTGTTATCCTCTGAGCGCTGTATGTTTTACAGTCAATTTTCAAATAAATTTCATCCTTTATTTGGATGACAGTCATGTGGATGCTCATCAGCTGATGACGAATTCAACCATAATGCAATCATCCGAAATTCGAAAGCATATTGTTAAAGGGCTCGAGCAATGCAACAATCATTCGAAGTATTGCGGATGTTTTCGTTCAGTGTAGGCACGTTCGGCACAGCACTTGGCTCAGCTTTCGGCACAGCTCAATCACTCGGCAGAGTCGAATAACCCTTGCACCAACCTCAATGTCATCAATGCTCCATTATCGTCAAGCAGGTTTGACCGACATGACATATTTTTACATGGAGGGTAAAAATCTGCTCTCTAACCAAGGTGAAAAATTCCCAACACAAAACATCTCTGCTTTGAAAGGTTCTAGGAAAAATCAACGGAAGGAAATGTCATTAGACGAGCGAGCACTGAGTACAGAACCTGACTCTGTCACGCAAGGTCTGATGAGAAAGAAAAAAAAAATCTCGGTAAATTCGGTCGAGTTCGATGAACATGTGCGTGTGTGTTGGATCTATTGTGACGGCAGCCGGTGGATTATATTTATTTGCGACAGAAAATTCAATATCACAGATGGTTGCTCGCATGGAAATTGTTGCCTAAGATATTCCACCCCCAGGTGGAGATGGAATTGCCAAACGAAAAACGACTTGGGGGATAATCTAGTCTAGCGAAGACGTGTGCTGGGTGGATGGATAGCAATTTCGAACTGATTTTGATTTTGAACTGCCATTGCCGGTGCCGGCATCTCGAAGCGATGAAAGCGCTTTAATGATGCATGGGATTCGAATCAACGCAATCCGTGAGATAGACATGTACATACACAAGACTGGAAGTCAAATGGAATCACAGTGAGTGGTAGGACTTGTGAACTTAGAACTAAGTTTCCACACTGTAGTTGGTCTCTTGATTTCGTGAACTTCTCCCACTGTTTTCTCCGGGATCGTAAAACACGGAAGTTGCAACCACATCTCGTAAGAGCAACTGTATACATGTAGCATCGCTATGATAGTGGCACCCGGTGATACTTGCATGAATAAGTAAGTGCCGGTTCCTTACTTATTCATCGGCCAATTCATTGAGCAGATTTCCCTCGGTCTCTTTCCCTAATCATAGAATTTTGATTTGAGCAGTTTGCAGGTGAAGCTCGTTTAAGCAGTGCGATTGGGGATTTTTTTTTCTTAGCTCTATCCATTGTTACTTGAACAAAAATTTCTCCAGCTTCCCGGGGTATGATGTAGAGCACATCTGGGAATCAGTCGAACAAGATTGCTTCCCTTACTTTCCTCTTATTAATATTGGATTGATTAGGTTTCGCCTTTTCGCTGCTTTCCCCTTTGAAAAACGTGTTCCTTTCTAGCTACCAACCTATTTCTACGAAAAACCATCGACCCGAAAAGAAAGTCGGTACCAAAACCCGTCACCGATAATAGGTTCAACTAACGAACCAGAAAAGGAGCCCTCCAGGCAGCATCAGGAAACGCGCACTCGACATATGCTCCGCACTTTTCCTTTTGAAGAGAAGAAAAGCCCACCCGGGAAAAAAGGGGCAATCGATCTTACGGCAGCAGCAAGAGAACATCGAACATGACTTTATTAAATTCACCTGGTGCGTGCGTGCGTGCGTGCGTTCCGGCATGCTCCACCGACCACCCCCATCGGTCCTAGTTTGGTCCGGCGAGAGTTTGATTTCATTTTTCCTTTTGCTATTTTCTTTCTCCCTCTTGCGCGCACACACAAACCCCATCTTGCCCTCGCACCCGACCCTGGACCTGGACTTCAGCTTCACCCCGTACGAGTGGGAAAATCCTCACCCCTGCAATTCGGATCCGCACTTTCTGGAGAACAGCTTCACGCTGCTCAACTCGCTCTGGTTCACGATCGGCTCGTTGATGCAGCAGGGCTGTGACATTGCTCCCAAGTAAGTGGCCCTCCTTTTGGCTTTTGATTGTGACTTTGATAATTAATGCCCCTTCCCCCGTTGCTGTGACCCTCTTGTGAACATACCGGCCGGTTGGGGGAGGGGAGAGGTTTTTTTTTAAGTGTGTTGTTTAAGTTTCTTTAACTCTTGCAATTTTGATCCGAATGTGAATGTTTAGCTCTTTAGTGCAATTTTTATAACTAGATTAGAACTTTCCTTAACCCTTCGTCTGTGACAAAACAAAAACTTACGGTGTCTGTACCTTGGGGTTAATTTGACCCCAAATTCATATTGTCATATCTCAGCGAAAGTTCAACGGATTTTTGAAATTTCTAATGTTATTTAAAGTAAATTTAATGTGCTTTCAGTTCAAATTATCAAAGTTTATTTGAAGGGAGAACGGGGGAGTCTTTGTAAAAATATACCCATGAGGTGATATATGTTGTTGTTAGAGATGTTTATATCACAACCATATAGGATGTTGCTTCGTTCCGCAAAGTTCAGAAATACAAGATTTTTAAAACTATGGATAGTTTATGACAACATTTATTCACTAGATGGCGCTAAAACGAAAATGACCAAATTGTTCCCTCTAAATACACAACACTAATACACAACGCTATCTACAGATCCTGCTCATATGGATGGTTCTAGCTTTGAGAAAAGTTGTCCAAATGGACAAGACCTGTCCTGAGGTAAAGAGTTTAGTTCAGAACTGACTCACCAGGCGGCGCTAGTGTGACATTCATTTTAAATTGTTTGCTGTAAATTAACATATGGACTATATAGTGTAGCAGCTCCAAATAATACAACATGTTCAGTTGAGTAGTTGAATATGAATGTTAATATATTTGCAGTATCCTAGCCTGGCCTTCTATTATAATTTGTATCAATCTATACCTACTACAGATAGAAGCTTTCCATATTGGGTAATGTTGTTGAGATAGACAAAACCTATCCAAAGGTAGAGAAATAAGTTGATAATTCACTCACAAGGCGGTGATAGTGAGACATTAATTTTGGTTTGTATGGTAGCGACTTCAGGGGTGGCATTGCGCATCTCGATTCGAGTATTTGTTTTTCGTTTCGACCACATTTGACATTACCGATTTCGAATCGAGCTAGAAACGAGTGAAACGGACAAGGTAGTACTAGATCTTCGAGCATAATTTGGCATTGCGTAACATTATGTTAGAGCAATTTTGAGCGCGAATCGAAAACAAATATCTTCACAAGTTGGAGTTGTTCGCCGCGAGTGCGAGAAAAACGTGAAATACGTAAAACAAATTTAATTGCTTTTACAGTCGTACCTCGATATAAAGCAACGTTACGTTATATCGAGTTACGTTATATCGAAGCAAAAAAAAATATTGTTTTTATATCGAAAATTATAGTTGAAGATGCTAATTTCAAATAACAGACTGTAGTGGTAATTTTTATACGATAGATGGAGTAGATGAAAGCATAGAGTTGATAGTTCCGTTAGAGTACGGCAGTGTGAAGATTGTATATAGATATTAGAATAGCGAACTAGGACAACTTTTTAAGAAGGTACAAATCGGTTTTTTCATCTCTCTTTACCAAACTCCCCCTTTGGAGAGGGATGGTGAGGGGTGTCCCCCCCCCCCCGCCACCACTGGCCAGTTGTCCTAGTTCGCTATTCTAATATCTATATACAATCTTCACACTGCCGTACTCTAACGGAACTATCAACTCTATGCTTTCATCTACTCCATCTATCGTATAAAAATTACCACTACAGTCTGTTATTTGAAATTAGCATCTTCAACTATGTAAATCGTTGACTTCACGTAGAAGTAATACTAAAAACATATAGTCAAAGTATCGAAAATTGTTTATCGTAGCCCAAAGATGACCAATGGTGACGTAGGATTTCGTGGTCTTATATGAAAAATGTTATTTGTTAACTGCAGAAGGAGCTTTTTAACAAATTTATGGTGGTCCAGAAAAGGACTGTTTTGTCGTGATGATTGAGTAATGCTGAGCTACTATTAGGGTGTTCAACACTGATGAAGCTGACGAGCTGTATGTTGTTTGGAACGAGGTTGACGCACTTGGCATAGATGGCCCACAGCGGCTCACGACGCGCAACTGAATCCGATCAGTAGCGGTGCGGCTTCTACCTCTTTCTTCGGTGAATCCAGGGCTCTTGTGGGCAGCCTTGATAGCTAGCTGCTTGCGGACAGCCTTTCATTATGTACTGGAAAACGCCACGCGCCGAAAGCACTGCTGCTGCTGATGACGATCGAACACCACCATTCACCACGCTCGGTGATTGAGTGAACACCGTTCGGCGAGACAGAAGGGAATTCGATTTTTAAATCTGTGTTAAGGAAAACGCTTTTCGCAGGCAATCGGTGATAATTTTGATCGCCATCGCAACAGTTGCACATTCGTGCAATTTTCAATACTGACCTTTTGTAAATTGATAGTCTTATTCTCATTTGTAAAAAAAATTCCAATCGATTGGCGTTTATGAATTAAAATCCATCATCTCTGGATCAAAATCAAACCACTTTCATGCCGCAACCAACTTTGGGTTTTGTAATTGGACCCCCAATGTTGTCTTAAAAATACATGGTATGTTAGATTGAAACTTATGGGAACTATGACCTTGAGAAATGTCCAGAAAATACTCTTTAACAAATTTATGGTGATCCTGAAAACAAAACTTTTTGTCGTAAATGCTGAGCTACTATTAGGGTGTTCAATTCAGTTAAAGCTGGTGAGCTGTATGTTGTTTGGAACGAGGGCGATGCACTTGGCATAGATGGCCTACTGTGGCGCACGACGCGCAACTGAATCCGATGAGTAGTGGTGTGGCTTCGTCCTCTTTCTTCGTAAAATCGAGGGCTGAATCGAGACCATGCAGCTAGCTGCATACGGGCAGGCTTTAATTATGTTCTGGAGAACGCCAAGCGCCGAAAGCACTGCTGCTGCTGCTGATGACGACCGAACACCACCACACACCACACGCTGTGATTGAATAAACACCGTTTGGCAAGACCAGAGTGAAATCAATTTTTAAATCTGTGCTAGGGAAAGCGTTTTTCGCAGGCAATCGGTGATATGATAGCAACGATTGCACATTCGTGCAATTTTCAATAGTGACCTATTAACAATTGATAAAGTGTTCATTTAAACAGATTTGTAGATTACTTTCCGATCGATTGGCTTGTTTAGAATTAAAATCCATCCGATATGGACAGAGTTATAACTGTTCAAAATCTTTCATAATTTTGTTACATGTTGCATTTTGGGTTTTCACAAAGTGTACCCCCATATAGAACTCACAGACGCGACGTAATCCTAGGTCAAAATTGCTGGATGTTTTCTCCGCCGAATGAAATATTTTCCAGTATTGGTTTATTTCTCCATTTATAAACGTTTCGTTACATGCCTCCCATTTGCCCATTTCCTATTTCGTAATGTGATCCCCAATATAGTAAAGAAAGACAGCAATACGTCAAAAGCATAGCCAATGGAAATAAACGTAATGTTACCATAGAGGTAACTCTAAGACTAGAAGGTCCCGAAATAACGTGCTCAACTTTTTGGCTCAGCTCTGGATCTGGTCATCTCTTCGGTCCCAAGCTAATCGATTCACCCCTCGAAACATAGGAAAATCCACTAACCCCTCATTTTATCAGTCAAATTTTCATAGCAAATCAAAACAAACATAGTGTAGTACTAGACAAAAAGAAGACAAAGAAAACAAAGCATCCGTCATTGAGCTGGCTGCTCTCTCTCGCATAAAAATGATGTTTATTCAACCCAGCATTATATGAAAAATTTAATTATATTATGTATAAAATAATTTCAAATGGATTTGTAACGTTAATAATCGATTGTGAGTTGATATTTTTCAATTTTTAGACTTAAAAAAAAAGTTACGTTATATCGAGGTGGAAGTTACGTTATATAGAGTTACGTTATATCGAGTTACGTTATATCGAGGTTGCTTTATATCGAGGTATGACTGTATTTCACTTCTACCGTGGACGAACCAGTATGTACCGTATGCGTGATAATGTTTGCACCATTGAGCGATGTCAAAATTAAAAAAAAAAAATTCTCAAAAATTTCGTTTTCGAGTTTTTTTATTTATTTAAAGGGAGATGTTTCTCAGAGTCTCAAACTATGTTAATCATCGATCGAGTTTCCACTTGCTGCAATTACGGCCTCCACACGCTTCCGGAATGCACGACAGGTTCTAATAATGGAGTCTGGATCCATTTCGCTTCAGGTACGGGTCAATGTTTGTCTGAGGCTTGCTGTACTCGGGTGGCGTTTAGAACAGGCCTTGGCCTTCATGACGCGCCATATTGAGTAATCCAGCAGATTAAGATCGGGGCTGGATGGCGGCCACATATCCTTCGCCCAGAACGGAAGATGCTCCTGCAACCACTTCTGAGTGCGGTTCGAAGTGTGGCACGGAGCCGCATCTTGTTGAAATACAACATTTGGCTTCGGACCGTACTGTTCTTTGATCCACGGGAGAACATATTTACTTAAAATCCCGATGTAGACCTCCGTGTTGACCTTGTCGCCTTCTGGAATGAACACCGGGTCCATTTTTTGCCATCGGAAGCCACCAATCCAAACACCATCATGCTAGCAGGATGCTTGGTCAGATACACGTTCTTGTGCTCGTCCGCCACGTCTTTAACCGGAAGAGAACTAATATACCGGTCGGTTCTGGAATTTGATACTGGATCGACGGTAAACATGCTCTCGTCGGTGAACAGGATTACCGGATTTTTTCGCTTAAGGAAGTTCAAGATTTTCTTGCATCGTTCGACTCATAGCTCCCGGATGCGGTTGGTAATCATGTGAGTTTTTTTCCGTGCCCTCGACTTCGCCCCGCAATCTTCCTTTACGATCTTCCGTGCCATAAAGTCACTGCCGGTGTTCTTTTGCCATTTTCCTTATTGAACGCACTTGATTAAGCCGAATCTTCCTTTTGATAGCAGCGGTAACCCTCGGAACCCGAGTTGACCTCGGACGACCTGTGGCCACCTTCGCGGATAGTTGTCCTTTCTTTTCTCGGTCTAAAACCTTTTTGACGGTCCACCGGGACACTCCCACGGCGATTGAAATGTCTTTTTGCGACATTTGCGCGTGGGACAAATCACGAATACGCTGCCACTTCGTCATGGTGCAACTGTCAAACTAAGTAAATCATTTTCTTTTATACAAAGCCTACTGCGGTATGAGCTATAGGTTACGTGCATGCAAATAAAACCAAGGCATTGTATGCACTGGTGAAATGGGAACCTTATTTGTACGATGGTGCAAACATTATCAAGGAGAAATCGATCAGTTTAAATCGAGGTTTTAACTTGCTAAACGGATTGTCTAATGACTCGACAAAAATTAAACTAACAAACTTGTTTGACATGACCAATTGACTCATAAGAAAGTAAAAGTAGTGTCCATTTTAACATGAAAAAAAAAACATCAGAAATCCGTTTAAAATTTCCGGTGATGTTACGATAATAGTGAAACATTTGATTGTGGTTTGGTGCTCGAAGAATTGATCATTCTGGAAATCTTTTATAATCTTTTGGATAATCCCTGAACAATCTGCGATATTCTGAGGATATTTGCAAGACGTGATTTGGATTTTTGAATAATCAAAGATCTTCAGAATAATTAGGTTGTTTAGACGTGTTCAGGTAAATGCGTATAAGTAATCTGCATTAAAAATAGAACCAAAATCGAAAAGACAATCAATTTTTACGCACTAACTTAAACTACTAACTAACTACTAACTACTAACTTAACTAATTTAAAAAAGTGCATTACATTAGCAAAAATCACCATGTTAGTGGCTCTCGGCGGAACTTTGTGTAGGAGCAAGCTGTCAACTAATACATTTAGTGTCAAAATATTTTGCTTTTGATTGAAAAATCGAGATAAATGTCTATGGGATCGCAAAAAATATCATTGTGCTCATAAATCGAAGCTCTTTCAGATGATGCTTAAAATCCGACATACTTTTCGGAATTGAACAACCCAATTTCCGATCAAGTCGAAGTCTTAAAAAAATCTTTGGTCATCTCAAGATCTTTTGAATAATTTCATATATTTACCTGCTATATTGTGACAGTACCTGAAAAACGTGACTTGAACAGTCAGAAATATTCAAATCGTCCAGAAGACTTCATCCGAGAAGTTCATAGATTGAAATGGAATTCATACAGTTCTTGAAGAAGTTCATGGCATTTTTAAGTAGTTTATGGAACTTTCGAACTGCTAACAAACCTTCCAAAAGCCGCATAACTGCATCTGGTTTTTGGAAGTCTGGAAGTTGGAAGTTGTCTAGAAGTTGTGTTACTTGGGTACACCATGCGAACTTGTAAGAAGCTCATATACTTTAACTATAACATGTTGCACCGTTCACAGATTTGAAATAAAGTTTAAAGGAACTTTTAAGAAATTCACAAAACTTTGGATTTGGAGAAGTTTTTTTTTTCCTGTAGTATTGGATTTGAGTAAGTGGGGGTTATTCCGGAAGTCGAAGTGACTTTGGTCATCAGTGAAGTGAGAAAAGTCACGGCGTGGTGACATGACTTTTCTCCCTTCACTAGTTACAACAGTAATTACGACTCTTGGAATGACCCTCAGTAAAAAGAAGAAGCATAGGGTAAATGCAACAACCATTGATACATTTTAACCATTTTGAGCCAATGTGTGCTTGCTGGAGATAAACAAAGCAATACAGAAAAATAAGATGACGAAGGCATCCTGAAGTGATCATACCATAGCATCCTGAATTATAAGGGAGCATTCCAGTTGCTGCATAATTGAAAATCCTGAGGTTTTCAAGGTGATCTCATATCACCCGGTATTATTTTAAAGTATTTCTAAGCAACCTGGACTCTTTGAGAATGTGATTTGAGTTATTGAGAATGATACGTGATCAAACTGAAGTCCAAAACAAATTATCTTGAGGATATTTTGGAGATCTATGATCAGTTGGACATCTTTTGAATAACTGCTGCGCAACCTGGTATGATGTGACAATATCTGAGACATGTGATGTGAATTATTGGTCAATTTTGGATTTATTTCAATCTTTGGATTAAATTCTGAGCAACCTGGTATCTTGAGAGGATATCTGAGGAGTTTTTGGAGATGTTTGATACCCTGGAAATCTTAGGATTAATTTCTGATGAATTTGGTATTTAAGAGAAAAACTGGGATCTCTGCTTGGAATTGCTAAGCAGAATAATAACTGACCAAGCTGAAGTCTAAAACAAACATCTTGAGGATTTCTTGAAGATCGATGATTATATGGAGGTCTTATGAATAGTTTATGAGCAATCTGAAAAATCTCTTGAAAAATAGCTGGGATATATGATTTGAATTATTGTGCAGTTGGAGATCTTCATGTGAATTGTTTAACAGTTGATAATCTTCAGAATTATACCTGATCAAGCTGAAGTCTTGAACGAATAAATTGAGGATTTGTTGGAGATCGATGATCACCTGGCTTTGGAATATTTACGAAGCAATCTAGTATTTGAGAAAATATCTGAGAGATGTGATTTGAATTGCTGGGTGGTTGAAGACCATCAGAATGATTCCTGATCAAACTAATAAAAATCTTGATGCTAAGGGTATGCACTTGTATTTCAATTCTAAGCAGCCTGCTGACCGAATATATAAAATCTTGCCATTGCTGAGTAAGGAAATGAGCTTTCTTTCCTTTCTTTTTAAAAAACACAAAGCACTGTACTTCACTAAGCACTAAGGTTATTCTTATTCACTTTTCACCTAATTTAACCTGACTTACTGCACCGACGACTAACCGAATGAAAAAGAGAGCGAGCCGCATGTCGCGAGCTGCTTTATAGACTAAAACTGCTAACTAATCATTTTTATTACCTGACCACTGTTTGGCGCGCAACGTGGCACGATGCGCCTGCTGCATTTCCTAACGGCTTCCCCCTGGGTTGAAAGTCGTCCTCGGCTTTCTTCGTCCTGGTGTTACGCCTGCGGCACCATTGAAATCTTCGGGTACTCTCTCCTCTCCGGTTCCGTTGTTATCTCCTCGCTACGATGGTCTTGAAGTTCCTCCCGACAGGATGTTGATGATCTCGGTACAGTCATTTTCCAGATCCAGAATGATACCTTTGCGATAAGAATGATTGATATTAACAAGCCAAAACCAAGCGATGACCACCCGATGAGCTTGAGCTTCCAATGTATATTGTCCGTCTTTAGGTTGATGTGATCGATATGATCACGTTGTTCCAAATGTAATGTCTGTAAATATTCGATAGGGAATTTGTTCACCAGCGCTGTAGAATTTACCTTCAATCCCGTGGTTGGTGTGAACGATGCCAACCGGATCTCCTTGTTAACGTTTGAGTACATTTCGTCGTTGATAAAAATTGTACAGTTGGAAAACTGGACAAGGAAAGAACCCTTGAGTTTTCTGTTGTTCAATGAGCAGTTCGAAGTTATTGTTACTTCCGCATCATTGATTATGATATTTGAATCGTCGATTCTTTTAATGATATTGTTAGTGTATGTACGTTCCATAGGGCATTGGGTTGGCTCACCTTTCATCAGCTGTTGAATACAACTTGTCATTGGCTCCAGTTGTGAGTTTGAACAGATGTAAATATTTCTGCTCATCGTGCATAATGATTTTAAGGCAAATGATGTATGTCCTTGCAGATAATAGTTTGTTGATATGTGAATACGTGAGTTGTTGAATGTTACCGGTTCAATGTAGTTGAGACTATATTCCGCATCCTTGATCCTTGGAATCTTCAAGATGTAGGCAATTGATTCCTTTGATGACACAACGTAAGCACTAGCGAAATCTAGGGCTCCTACGATGAGACCACTTCCTTCCAGGAGACTTTGGATCTTCGTCATCTCCGCAGCGGTGATGATTCTGCTACTCGGGATGCCATGTTGGGCCAAAACAATAGCTTCTTCTAAATTTTCTAGCTGTTGTGTAAGTTCGTCTAAGCAAAAGAGTAAACCTACCAATCCAAAATCTTTTCTATTTTCTGATGCTATGTCATTCAATTGATCTGCTACATTATTTAATTTTCTGGTCATGTTTTGAATTCTATTTTCAAACATATGATTTATTCTGATCTGCTTTTCATTTTCATTAATTAAAGAATTAGAAGTTGTGTTAATGATCCGTAAGTCTTCGGCATCCGGACTACCGGAAATATATTTCCAAATTGATCCTAATTGTTCCCATCTTTTCGTCCTAGTAGATGGTTTAAGCTTTAGAAAGGCTTGCTCTAACTTAGTGATTTTTGCATGAATAATTGAACTAAGGAAGTCTTGTGAAGTAATCCTAGATTTAGCTTGAAATGTTAGGGTTTCTATAGAATTTTGAATCTGAATGAGTTCAACCCGGTGCAGTATTCTAAGATAATTATTACTAATATGGGCCTTACCGAGGTTTATAATGGCGGCTGGGCTCCTGTTCAGGTCGTGTACTAGAATTTTGCAAGTAATTGTCGTCCAGAGCCACAGCCATAGTCTGTAAATAGATAGTCTAGATTTTAGTCGTCCGTAAAATTCTTTTTGATATGTTTTTTATGCGTCTTTATCCCTGCTTGGTCCGTAACAGTTTTGTCGTCTTCAATTGTAACGTCAATAAGTCGATATCTATTACTACTTGGTGTGGGTTTGGCCTTCCCCTTGACCAAGAGTCGATTTCTGTTTAATAATTTGAATTTGTCATTGGAAATTAATGCTATTTTTGTATTATGTGTGTTTGCCTGGATTGTCATAGCGTCTTTTGCATTTTGTAGACTTTTTTGTTTACAGAGGTTGATTTCTATGGGATCTAGAGAAGTGCAAGTGCCAAAGATCACTTCTCTTGGTTTTAGATTTATTGTCGTGTGGGTAGTGTCATTGTATATTGCTGTTACCATGGCAAGACCTTCGTATAGAGTAAGATTTTCAACTTTTTGTCTGTTTGCCATGTACATTTCCAGTAAGGTGCTGTGGAATCGTTCCACGATACCATTACTGTCACTGCAGCTGGCGAAATGCAAGGTGATGCCATGATTTAGAAGGAAATCTCTAAATTTTGAATTTCGAAGCTTGTTGCAAGTGATCATTTTTGGGATGCCAAAAGTTTTAAAATATTCAATTAGTGTTTCTATGATTTCTTCAGTTGTTTCGTTTGCTATCTTGTATATTTGCGCAAACTTTGAGAACGCATCTACTAATGTTAGGAATTTTTCTGATTCTTTAACAAAAACATCCATAAAAACATTCTCGAAGGGACCATTATAAATTCGTCTGGTATGGTGAATTTTGAATGGTTTCCGTTCATATTTTGCAAATTTACAAGGTTCGCAATTCTTAATAAACTCTTTAACTTTCACTAACATACGTGGAAAGAAAACGGATTTTTGCACTTCCACATATGTTAGCTTGTAGTTCCTGTGGTTGAAGTTGTGGCATTTCCTTATGAAATCATCTTGATCGGTTCCTGAAATTAAATCTGGTAATTTTATGTTAGAAAAGTGTACTTTTATATTATTGAAATCGCTGTTTATAATTTCTTTACAAATATAGGCCAATTTCGGCTCTGCATAGATACCATTTGTCTTGGCCGGGTTAATATGTCTTCGTAATATGTCCTTTAGGTCTTCTTTGTTAAAGTTCGGTCTGTGATAAATGTTTCTAAAATGATTTGGAAAAATCATACACAACAAGTGTGGAATTTTTCCAGCGTCATTTGTTTTATAAAGAATGATTTGATTCGCATATTTATTTATAATTTCTGACCCATAAATTGGGTCGTTTTCAAAAAGTTCATTTGATAATTCCTCATTTAGGTTAATATCCAAACAAGGAATCCGTGACAAGCCGTCAGCTACGACATTTTGCTTCCCTTTTTTGTAAATTATCTTGAAATCAAATTGTTCCAGATAGAGCCGTTGTCTAGTGACTCTGCCTGTAGAATCTGTTAGCTTTAATTCCTTAGTGAGAGGTTCGTGATCGGTGTAGATTGTGAACTCTCTACCATACAAATATGGCCTAAAGGTTTTCGCAGCAAAATAAATTGCTAGCAACTCTTTGGCCGTTGCGGAATAATTTTCTTCGGCCTTGCTTAGCGTTCGGGAAAGATACGCGATTGGGCGTTCTTTTCCTTCATGAAGCTGGGCAAGGACTGCTCCAATAGCCACATTTGATGCGTCCGTTGTGAGAATGAACGGCTCATCAAAATTAGGATATGCCAATAGAGTATCGCTAGTCATGATTTCTTTAAGCTTTTCAAACGCTCTTTCGTATTCATGGTCGATCTCTATGTTTTTTGTTTTGCCCCTTAATTTTGAAGTCATGGGCTTCGCTATGTGGGCGAATTTGGGAACAAACCGCCTGTAATAGCTAATTGTTCCTAGGAATGATTTAAGTTCCTTCGGAGTTTTTGGCAGAGGCCAGGCCTTTATTGCCTCTATTTTGTTTGGATTGGGCTTAACCCCATCTGTTGTGACGACATGTCCAAGAAAACCTACTTCCTTTCGGAGGAAATCTGACTTGTCGCATTGCACTTTGAGATTTGCTTCTCTCAAAGTTTGGAGGACCTTTTTAATATCCTCTAGGTGTGTCTGTAAATTAGTACTAAATACAGTGCTGAGATTTGTCATTGTCATTGACAGACTTTTGCGCGATATTGACAAAATTGTTTTTCACATAGTCAATGATAGACTTGATCCTCAAAAAAATCTTTGTCAAAATCTCATTCATTTTTTCGTCAATGACAAAGATTCACCTGGTAATAGAAAGTGTAATTTCTTGCATTCTGAGACACATTATTGTTATCCAAGCGGTTCAGGACGTAGATGCTTATTCACTTTAATGGCTCCATGTAATTGTTTTGCTCATGCCATTTAATTTCATTTCAAATTTAGCTAATAAACAAATCAGCACATGTTTGTCACTGACAAAAATAGTACTGACAATTGACATGGTTTGCCTTGACGATGACTGTTAGCTCAAACGAGTGACCAAAGCAGAATTTTGAATATCACCGTGTATTGTCGAAATTTTGCAGCACTGACTAAATATAATGATGTCGTCCATGTAGACGAAGCATCTTATACCCAAGTGCTTTCTCAGCACTGAGTCCATGAGTCGTTGAAACGTTGCCGGGGCGTTCTTCAACCCGAATGGCATTCGTACGAACTCATACTTCCCATGGTCTATATTAAAGGCCGTTTTGGGAATATCTTTGGGGTCGACCTCAATCTGGTGGAAACCACTAGCTAGGTCGAGCACCGTAAAATACTGAGCTTTTCCTAATCGGTCTAGGATTTCGCTCACTTCAGGGATCGGGTAGCGATCCGCTGGGGTTTTTTCGTTCAATTTTCGATAATCGACAACAATGCGGTACTTTCGCTTCCCAGAGTTGTCGAGCTTTTTCGGCACTACCCATATGGGTGAGGTCCATTGTGAAGAGGACTCTAATTATACCGTTATCCAACATCTTCTTGATTTGGGTGGAAACTTCCTCCCGAAGATGGTAAGGATATTTATACGTTCTCTGATGAATGGGTTTTTCATCAGTCGTATTAATGGAATGTTTTACTTCATGGGTAAATGTCAATTTTTGGTCGTCCGAAAAAAATACATCTTTAAAGTGTTTGAGGGTTTTAATTATAGCATTCTTTTCCTCATGATTTAAATGCTCAGATGGGAAATTAAGAGATTTTATCTTTTGTTGGTTAATCTCTAATTCAAATGCGTCATTCGGGAATGGACTAAGAACCATTTCCTTTGTGACTGGTCCCTTTCTTGAAACCAGATGTACTAAAGCTTTGTTATTTTTTGCTTCGTAAACACCTGTCTTTAAAAATATGTTGGAGTTCAAATTTATCTCCTGGTCAATAACAAATGATCCATCAATGGTTGTATTGATTTCAAAAAGGTTTTCACTGGTCCCGTGGAAATTGATAGAAGTGGGAAAATATTTCGACACAGTGTACCTTTGGTTGTTGATGGTGATATATTTCTTGGAAGTATCAATGACTGCTCGTATGGCAGCTAAATTTTCATAGCCTATAAGGCCATCAAAGAAATGATGAAATTTAAACACATAATAAGGAAGCTTTTCCGTGAGGGTCTCTGGAAACAGATTTACGTGCACAATGCTGTCGATAACAAACTTACCGTTTTTGTTTGTTATGACGGCGGGTCTCTTCACGGTTTTGGATTTTTTAACATGTTCCGGATTAATGTAAGATTTATTTGCACCCGTATCTACTAGGAAATTAAGATAGCCTTTTGTAGTGGGTATTCGCAAATACGGTATGAAATTCATGTCAGTTGTTTTATTAAGCGAACGTTTTGAAAATTTGATTCGTCCACCTCGCCATATCCGTCATTGTCATCGTCGTCATCGTCGCTGTAATTTAATGCGTCGGGTTCGTCTTCCTCCCGTTCCTCTTCTATCTCGTTATTATGAACCTCAGCTTTAGTTTTGTAGCTAGGTTTGTGCTGAGTAAAGTTTTTCTTGAATGGTGGCTTAGGAGGGAATTTAGAACTGCCTTCATTGCTGGAATTTTGTCGAAGGTGTGATTTGTTTTGGTAAGCTGGGCGATTTCTCGCTTCCGCATTTTGATTAATGCATACTGCTTGGTATGCCTCCTCTAATGATTCCGGCTTTGACTGCCTGATTATGGATGCGAGTGGTTCGCCGATGTTGTCGAGATACTTTGTGATTATAAGGATTTCAATTAAATGATTGGTTTCAACCGGGTTCAAGGTTAGATTCATTTTTAATTTCGACGATAATTCCTTAACGTCGGCGTAAAATTTGTGATTGTTCCTATCACCCCGTTTCATGTGAAACAGTTGTGATAGGTTTGTGGCAAGATCTCTTTGATCGCCATAGTTTTCGAGTTAAACCCTCCTGATACCTGGTACCGAGCTGGGGTTTCCATTTGCACATAAAATTGTGCGCGCTTCACCTTTTATTTTATTTTTAATAGCCCGCATGTAGTGGCTTGGAATTGTGTCGGGAGCGTCATTTTCTCCCTTCACGAGATACATTTCATATAGCTCGTCTAACTCTTCGAGCCAGGCGGCTAGTTCTTTTTTATTGCCTGTGAAATCAGACATATTTTTGATTGGGTCTGGCAATTTGAAATTATCAACCTGCCGCCCGTTGCCTCGTAGC